ATTGAGGGTTCTTAGCTCAACAAGAGTGCAGCTCATAATCATTCATAATCATAATTAATTTGGTACCTAGTGACGCGTCTCGTGGAACTTAGTTTGAGAAACACTGAGCATAACACATTAACTTAGTTTAGCAAGGAACTTCAATTCTCGCAATACACAGCTAGAAACTGACTCCTTCAGACCGACTGAATTATCTAAACTATGCAACAACATTTTTCAAGTCCTAGCTTATCGTTGAGTTGCACTATACTTTGCGAGTCAACGGTACATATTTCAACTGAAAACTAGAGCATTGTGAAGAATTTATTGCATGCCTTTATCTCCTGAATAAGAATTTTGGGTCATGACGATAATATATTTTTCTCATATCGATCTTAAGTATTACTTAAAAGTATCATGAATGCTTCACACAAAAAAAAATATCCAGCAGACAAAAAGGATAAGGACAAACAGAAGTTCCATTCCATTCATAAGAAAGAAGATAAGAAATGAGCAATAATATAAAATGTGTCATTTATGTCATTTCTATGATGAGAAAATTTTGTAGTGGAGAGAAAACAGAGTCGTTTGGTGATATAAACAAGAAATAGGAAAAACTTTTTATGCCTCTTTTATTTGATGGACTTTTTCTTCACTATAGACTTACAATTTTTTTGATGAAACAGCAAGACTAATATTAAAGAAATAGGCATAGATCCTAGGATTACAATAAATGAAATAAAATTTTCTTCAAAGAGATATTGGATGTGCTGATATCTTCTTCAGTCTTATTCAATACTTCTTTGCCGACGACCAAAAAATAGCATAGAACATTTTTTTGTTCAATTCAATTTTATTTATTTTATTTCCGTTCAATTCTCTCACTTACTCCTTCCTTTCTTTTTATATGTGTACAGACATAAAAAAGAATATTTGTTTGCTTGTAAGGATTATGGTAAGATAAGGGATTATTCCTAAATTAAGTCCTTCAAACAATTGAATTTTAGATTCCTATACTTTCTTGTCATTTGGTCAACATATCTCCCTCACCTGCTACATTAATTTTTTTTCGCTTTCTTACTTCTAAGCAAGATTTAATGACACTAACGATGCCAGACATACAGACAGTTAAATCTAATGACAGAGCAACACTACAGTCCAACCTCAATAATTCTAACCCCTTTACTATTCAAGGCAATGCCTTAGACGTCATTGATGAATGACTTCCATCAAAAAAATTTTGCTGATAAAATATTTATAGCCACGCTTTTGAAACTGTATGTATTTATTGATAAGCTTTAATTATATGCTATTTGAAGCTTTAATTATTTGTTCTTTCTTTATTATTCCCGCAAAAGAAGAAAGAGACTAATAAAAAAATGGCAATTTTTTGAGTCGTGAACGAAGGCAATGAAAATAATGCGTGAAAATTTCATAACTCGTGATATGGAAAGGAAGAGAAGAGAGAAGAAAAAATTCAAAAGCACGCTTGATGGATACGCACATAAAACATAAACCTACACGTGAGAGCATACAGCCAAAATCAATAAGCCTTATTACTGCTCTGCAGCCCCATATAGCATTGTTATGGCGAAATTATTTCATGCCCCATTCATTGTTGTCATTCCCTTTCTCTTTTCTCAGCTATTCAGTCTTCTCTCTTTCACATTTTTCACCATCATGCAAGTGATATAAAAAATTTATGTTTGTAATACAAACGATGATATATGTGGAACGCACTCACACACACACAGTCACTTTAAATGTGAATTTTATATTCATATTTTTACATTTTCCGTTCGGACCATTTTGAGACTTCTTCTCATTATTATTTCATTTTCTTCCTGCTGCTTCTAAATTCCATCATTATGTGCTAAAGACATTTCAATATTCGGTACGTAATTTGAAAATGCGCTTTTATTGCCCAAAGGAAGGCGCCCTTTTTCTGATGCGAATAAATTATGAAATCATGAATTTTCATTATTTTAATTTTACATTAAATTATTTTATGAGCATGTATCAGACATCCTTATTTAAAAAGCATTCGATGCTACAGAATGAATTTTGTTTAAGGTCGGTTCTAAGAATTTTTCTTAATTTAATGGTTTTAATTTAAAATAGAATGTGACTTTTTTTGTGGAACAGAAGTTGATTTAGTTTAAATTGATTCTGTCGAGGAAAGTTAATCAGCTGAGATAGAGTCTGTCAGAGTAAGCTAAAACCAATTTCCAGGTTCCAAATTCAGACCAGGTTCCTTTAATGCTCTGATTTACGCTCTTCTGTAGCCTCAAATATGATGCACAAAAGTCAAAATCACAAAATTCCTATCTCAAATAAAATTTCATGGAATTCCACTCAAAAATGATTCCATTCTCCATATAAATCATCAGCAAACACAGATTCAATCCTCTCATTCACTTAAGAGCTGTTGACATCAACCAAAAAAGTCCTGTCAGCAAACATTACTTTCGCATATGCTTTCATCGAATTGACATTTAAGCCTGTCCACTCGAAATGAGTTAGTTCTGTAAAATACATCAATTTGTTGACAGTTGACTTTTGAAGATTTCATGACTAGAGCATTCATGTGATGACTTGACAAAACAATGCGTGATGTACGTGAATTTTGACACTATTTTCCTCTTGATTTCTAAGCATTACTACGCAACGTATGTGTCCATATTTGCAGATGAGATAAGAACTTAAACAGATTACTCAAGGATTACTGCAATACTTTCTATAACACATTGCTACTGTAATAAAAGCTCTTAATTTAATACGTTCATCCATTTATTCTCATGTTTCAGCCATAGGACTTTTTTTTATGTATTTTCATTTCCTTCTGCTATTATGAACGGTTTTTGTGTAGACACTCGTTTAAATATACATACATTTATGTCAATGTGTATATCCATAACCAAACAATGAGTCATTCATAACGTCTATGCTTCATAATAACAAAAAAAAAATTATTATTATCATTATTATTATGTGAATTGTTAATTAAGATATATATCTGGTGATATATGTAAGTTAATGACTGAGTGCACTTAATGAAATCGTACATGCTAATCAGGGTCGTAGCTAATGTATTTGATAGTAGGGCTGTCGATTTGCATAACATAAGTAACAGTTTTCAAACATAAATGGAGGAATGACATCATAAATCTTGGAAATTTAAAGGTTTTCGGCATTGAGGATGTCTTGCCACCTATAAACTCCCCCTAAACATGCATGCTACACACATAATAAAACAAGATCTCGTTAATCTAAGCCTTGTATCTAATGGAGATATAAAACCATCAGCATCATAATTTTTAGTCAAGTGGCAAAAGCTCTGACAGCCAATTAACACATTTACAATTAAAGAAGGCAGAGTATAGGGAAGGAAGGATGTTGAGGATCATGAAGAAAAAAAGGGATTAGACGAGAAAAATCTGAGAAATGATTATTATCGAAGAAGATTCTAAATGTTCTACGTCTGCTTCTTGTAATGTGATTTTAGTAACAACAGCGCAAAAGAAATTATGATAATGATGATTATGTTGAAGGAAAGAAGCTTGAAAAAATCTCCAAAAAAAAGAATTATAAATACCCAAAGGCATGATGAGGAAGACTAAAAAAGCAATTAGAAAAAATCCTCTTCTGACTAATTCACTTTCCGTCTTGATACGTTAAAAGCATTTGCTCTTCACAGAAGTACCAACAAGCTATAGCTATCATATCTGATGAAATAATATTTTATACACATTGTGGCTGATAAGCTTTAGGTATAAAGGAATTTAATAACAAAAAGAATTGTCGTATAGTTTAATAAATATAAGAAACAATTGCAAGTTCCTAGATATCATGCACAACTTTCATATTTATACGCTCTGCTCTTTTGTTTTCCTTCCTTCCCCAATGTCTTCTAAAGAATGTTTTGTTTAGCTTAAAACCGACCATAGAGAAATACAAAAGTCACTTTTTTAAATAAAAAGGAATGTGACTAGAATACCTCATCGTATGGCTGTATATTTTCATTATCACTTTAACTTTTTATTTACATTCTTGGTTGGCAGCATAGAATCATATCGTTACTTGCGTAAAAGTTGTTACCCTTGGGGATTTCTCATGTGGTTGTGTCACGTTAGAACAATTTGAACTAAGTTGCTGTTGGGGCTTTTTGTAGATAACAGGGAATTTGCACGGCATGTAGGATAGCATGACAGGAGATCGTCATGAAGATTTTTTTTGACATTCTTTTGAACGTGAATTAAGTGTTCATGGGAAGTTTAGGCTGCTTTAATCTTTTTCTCAGTTCATTTGTGATCCTTATGCCTTCCTTTCGTTAGATGTCGATGAAACGGAAGGGCTTTAATACAAACCGTATGGAATTAATGATGTAATGCTGTGAATTTAATGATGTAAAGGGATGCGAGTCGTTTTAAAAATTGTAAAGGTAACAAAGTTGAATGTTTAGATGTTGAGCTTCAGTTGGAGTGATATAATGATGTATAATTGCAGTTAGTTCTTAACGGTAAGCTCCATTCAAGATTCAGAATATGTGGAGCGTGTGACACTCCTTAAATCCACTCTGTTTAGCCTAGAAATCTTTTTTTAAGTCATGACTGTATATATTCTCCATATCAATATACATCAAAGTATTTTGCATTCTATTCATCGCCTATATATCCATACATCCATGAAATCGAGTGGTTTACAGTAAATTAAAGCCCTCTTATGCAAAACTCTTAAGCTTTTCTTTCCAACACATCATATTTACGCTTGAAGCTTACTTACAAACATTTTACGATTTAGCTACGAAGCATGAGCGTGAAAAAAGTATATCCAACAAAAAATAATTTTAAGTCTTCTTTTCAAAAAGGTGTTAAATTATGCAAAATGATTCTCTGAAAAGCTGAAAACCTCGAAAGCTCGACGAAAACGACATTAAAAGAAGGAATAGAGAATAACAAAATATTTATAAAATTCTGTACTCCGTATGTGCTTAATAATTTTTCCATTCTTTATATTTTCAGCGAGGAGAATGTGTGGAAGTTGTGTGAACAAGTAAAGAAACTATATCCTAATGAATTATCAAAATGTTATGCGGTTTATGTGTCAAATGAACGAAGAACTGTGCCGTTATGGAGACAAAAAGCTGGTAGAGGAGAAGACAAATTAGTAGTTTGGGTAAGTTTCTGTTTCTTTAACTGACATGATTAAAATGAGAATTAGAGCATGTCAAATTATGCTTGGGGTCGTTCATAAATAATGTTCTTACATTTAAATTAGATCAATTTGTCACTTTCTTTAATACTCATTGAGGAGGAAGGGGATGACTAAGAAAAATCCAAACTTTCTTAGACGTCATTAATGAACGGCCCCTCATAATTTTCATTTTAAGTATAATATTTGTTGATTGAATCACATAATCTCATTAATTCTCGTTAAGGAAGGGAACTTTATATTCATAGCGAACGTGAAGTATTTTCAAAATTTATAGCAAAAAACTTCCTTTTGACATGAAAAATGCTTCAAGTATATAAATCCAGGATATAAGGAAAATAATTCAACCAAAAATTTATTCAAGCACAACCAAATTTCCATCTTTCATGCATTTATATATATTTTTATGTTCACTGACTGTGGCTGAGTCGTGTCCTTGATTTGCAACTTTTTTTCACGTCTCATTCTAATTTCACGTCAACAAATATGTACGCATGATATATAACCGCAATTTCTAATATACAATATTGTATATCCTCCCTTAATCAATCCTCATATCCTAAGGAATTGTTTTCATTACGCACTCGAATTGAATGAATGACAGACAGCAGAGATACTTAGCTGAATACATATGAGATGAGCTAACATTTTCTATTTTGTGTCATTCCGAAGAGAAAAAAAAAATGAACGAGGCAAATTACCATGCGAACGAAGAAGATGAGACATGATGATTTGTCTTGTATTACACAAAAAAATATAGACTTAGACTTACAACTGCTGTTGTTGTTGATATTTTATTTTTATTGTAAAGGAACATAACCCAAAATATACACTTACACATTTGCATGACTTCCTCGTGTAGGATTCTTGGAAAAATTTCGTTCCATTTGTACACGCGTGTGTAACATGAGTTTTACATTAACATAAGTTGTAATTTCATCGTAACTGGCTAGCTTCTTTTTTTGATGTTGATTTAGGATAATGAATTTGGTTCTCAGAAATGTCATGAGGTTCAGGATTTTTTTTCGATTAATGCGGATAAACTACTGTAAATTCTATCTAGAATCGAACAGTATTCATAATGTCATTCATGAAGCATTTTATTGCTGAAGCTGATCCTACTTAGTATTTCGACGAAATTTCTCATCTTTAAGCTTTAAGCATTTTATGTCATTCACTCTTGTAAGTGTCATCTTTAGGCATCAAATAAGTTCCTTCATTCAAAATTCTGACGAAATTTCCCACAACAGCTCAAAAGCAATAAGAATGAAAATGAAAACGAGAAGAAAAATGTTTTGAGTAAATTAGCATTTTCGAGCCACAATGTCTATTGCGGTTTTGTTTTTGTTTGAACTAAAAGGATGAAATGTTTTTTGTTGGATGTACTGTAGAAGAAAAAAATAATAACATAGCTAATATAATTATATCCATTCTATTCTATTCTTTATAGGACTATCATGTATTTTTCATGCATAATCCATCACCAAATCGTTGCTTGGTTTTCGACTTAGATACCACTTTGCCATTTCCAACATATTTCCATAAATATGTAACGGAGACGTTTCGTTCAGACTATGCAGTGTCAGAGGATCATCATAGGTGGGTATTGATATAATATGTACATTAGATACAGTCGGACGAGTGGAGTGAGGAAGTGAATTGTTTCTATTACGCACTTGCTGTGTACTGTGCTGGTTTGGAGAAATTCAATAATAACGGATCGATTGCTTAGTGCAGGGGTGCAGCTAGAGAAACTTATGCCTGTGAGGACGACTCCCCTCCGAGATTTTAGAACTGACTCAATGACTTTTGATCCGTTTTACAACATTAGACTAGTCGCCTACAAAATATTCAATCACTCATTATACTTGCTCAATAAAATTAACATTGTAGCTGTAAACACTATGAGCTATTGAATACTGTCCTAGACATCATCAACTGTACACAAACAAGAAGCTGTTATTGATATTGATGTACTTAATATTCTAAAAGTGTCAAGACTCACTCTGTCTCTCAGACGGTATAATACATAAGATGTCTTATTAAATTAGTTCCATTACATTATTTATTGCTTAAAAATTCACTGCTATACATTTTGGTTATATCAAATTCCAAAAACATTTTCACACTCATTATTATTTTATATGATACATGGATTCATGTGATTAACAGGTTGAAATTGTAGCAATTTATCATATTTCTGTCTTCTTTCTCTTTCTTTACGGCTGCACATCATTCTGCGTACACAATAACATCTTCAATGACGGGTGTGCTTTTCACACATACATTATATCCTTGCATGGTTGGCAGGTTTTTTAGAGTAATTCCGGCAGAAATTTACCTTAATTCGTTCTCATCTGATCGTCGACACATGCGGAGGTAATGCTTACTTACTTAATATTTATTTTAAGTTGTGACTCAATTTCTTCTCATTTCACGTATGTAGACCTGATGGTACATGGATCAAACCACCGCCCTCATATCCCGAAATCGGCAACAACTTATGTGAGTATTATTTAATAAACTTACATGCCTGTATACTTACATAATTTTATTATTGAATGATGTACTGACAAAAATACGCGCTTCTTCGTCTGCCTGCTCTGAAAGTTACCGACAAAGTTGTTTTATTTTACATTTCCCAGGGTTGCATTTGATTTGTTAAATCATTTTGGCAAGCAGCACACGTCTAAGCTTATTTAAAATTGAAATCCCTGTAAGACATCTCATACTTTTTATTATTTTCACAATTTTATTTCTTTCTTCCACTTCCATTAAAGCCCAGCAGCAACATTGTTCTGCATTTTCTCTCTCTCTCTCTCTCTCTCTCTCTCTCTCACGTTCCGTTGTTTTTTTGGGGATATATACTCTCTCGCAATCGCTTACATATTAGAATATGATATACACAGCCATAAGTAAAGGGAGGTTTGAGACATGAGAAGCAATGAATGAATGATGGGGAAACGACCTTGACTTTATATTACAAAAACAACAACTTTTTATTATATTTTTTGAAGCAGAACAGAACAAGTTGCAAGGAAGAATTGAGGAGCTTTTGAAATGTCAACAATTTTCCAGTTCTTTTGTGTATTTTAGCCAAAAAATTTGTGTTTAAAAAAATTAATTTTACAGAAACAAAAATAATGTTTTTTGGGGGTGTGGAAACACAAAAAAGGGCAGCAAATAGTCATGAGGTCAAATTATGATGATGAAAAAAAAAAGTCATTGCTACATAGCCCAGAACAAAAAATATTTATCCCCAAACTTTTTCATAAAAAAATTTCTGTTTTTGTTCCTAAATGTCTTTCATTCATGCTTGTGGAAGGAGGTGCTTTTAATATTATTATTTTTTATTCGAAACAAAAAGACATTATGATGTGTGTTTATGTAAATTATATACACATAACTTGTCTTGCATGTTGGAGTGGCTTTACATAAAACACGATGAAAAATGTCATATGAGGATGGTTTAATGACTGATGAGAATAACATAAAAATTCATGCTGTTCCACTTTTCACTTTGTTCTGATATCTTGAGGCACGTAAATGAAACAATATGAAACTGATACCAATGGAACGTTTGGATGGATATGCAAAAAAAGGGATTCTGTTTTAGAAAAATATTTAATTAAATAGCAATTTTGGAGATTCATTCTTATTTAATTATTTAAACATTATCATGGTTGCAGTTATTTCATTTATTTCTCTAATGACTTGCTTCTTGCTTCTGTCGACATAAGCTCATGGATTCATATGGCTTTATATGTTAATTTTCTAAAATTAAATTAAATTTTATAGCTACAAAAACCATACATGATGTTTAAATTAGTCTAATTGAGATTCTAGAGTTTCAAAATTCATTCAATTAATGAACTTTATGCAACTGATAAAAGCTCTTTTGGGATTTCAGTTCCTGGTAAACTGTTGAGGAGCTTTGATTTTTTTTTAAATTAAAATTTTCGGATATAAAGTTAAATTAAATAACAGCACAAGCCATGCCACAGACCAAATAATTTAGACAACCACTCAATGCTTCAACCAACTCAAACAACCAATTAAAACATGAAGTTTAGTGCCTATTCAATTTTCAAGAGTTGAAGCTTGTTAGTTTCCCAATTAAAATCCTGAATCAATCAACTTTTCATCAATACATTTTCCATGCTACTCGCAAATAACAACATGCTTTATCTCCTATAATGAAACCATACAGAAGTGGAGTCAGGAGGAGTTTGACATTTTAGGTCTATTTCTTCGCAATTATTAATTTAATGGGAGATCAAAAACCAAATGAGAAATCAAAATCCATCTTCCTCTATTTCCTGTCCACAATAGTAAGATCATCTTTGTAGCATCGAACAACTCCAACAGTTTACAAATTTGTAGTACAAAATAATCCATAATGCAAAAAGCTTGCATGTGATCCATCTGTACCGACATGTTTAGGTTAGAACCTCTTTAGTCCATCCATTTACTCATCACAGAATGTGCACATAAATTCATTTCAGTTAGGATGGTTAATGATGTGGCTTTTATATATTGCAATTTCGCTGGTTATTGTGGGGACTTAAAATTATTTTCTTTTATATCCATTTATGCTTCCATTAAAATTATGTTTTGAGCCTTCGTACTGACTGATTGCCACATGTGACATGATGTGATGAATAAATAAATTCATGTTGTGTGTGTGTGCCTTTACATTACCATATTATGCAAAAAAAATGTCACCGACATAATAAAAAGGAGAGGAGAAAGAAGAGGCAAAAGACTAATTACGACTACCACAATGATAAATTGCGTGATTTTGAATTAAATGGGTGAAAGTTATGTTTCATTTGTTTGTTAAGTATTGTTTAGAGTCACATAAGAACGGAGTGTGAGAGAATAAAAAAAAAGTTTTTTTTGGGTGCTTAATTAATTAAATTTATTCAAACCAAGAGCTTAACTTCTTTTTTTGCTCCTCTATGTATGCAATGTGGAAAATTCTCCAAGTTTTACCTCTGGTAGCAACCACAAGAGTTAAAGTTTCTCAAATGCCATGACACTATCATCATCATCATTATTTCAGTATATATTCTTATTGTAATAAAGTTTGCATACCCGCATAATTGTTTTTTGTGGCATTACACAAATAAATATTAATTATTTTTGGCTTTTTTATGAGGTGAAAAAGTTTCTTCTTGTGCCTGTGAAAAGCACAAAAGTGGAAGCAAAAAAAGCGATTTAATTTTTGGTTGGAAACAAGAGAAAGATGTGAAAATGAGGGAGCATGGGAGATAAATAAATTCATTCGTATAAATATCACTAAGGGAATAAAACTTAAAAAGGAGCTAAAATTTATATGGATGCGGGTGAACAAGTGATGGAATTTTATGGTTGGGCTGTTATTAAGTATGAATTAGTGAAGATAATGTCACCCTAATTAGTTAATCACCAAGCATCCCACGTAACCAATATCGCCGTCAATGAAAAAATCGACTTAAATGTACAATTTTTTGGATGATCCAATAGACGTCGATTTTTCATCCATTACACGTCGTTTTTCTTGAGCCGCTATATACTTCACAAGTGCAATCAGAAATCACTTATATAAGGCACAGCCAAATTTTCATACAAAGTGCGATTAATTAATTTAATTAATTGCATGCGAATAATTCATTTAAATGAAGTCTTCGACTCTTTTTTTCAAAGACAAAATCCTTAATTAATTTTTTTTGGATTTTGTCTACAAATTATAGTATAATTAACAAAAAATATTTTCATACAAAAAAATTCAAAATTTTCCCGTTAATCGGTTTTTATATTGTAACGGTCAAAAAAAATTTGATTTTGGTTCAAAAAAATAATCGACGTGAAATCGACTAAAAATCGTCCCTTTTCATATTAGCATAATGTCCAATGTACGATACATGGAATGTACATATGGAACATACATGGAAGATTTTGATGTAATACATAAAATCTTCCATTCGTCGACTTATGGTTACGTGGGATGGTTGTAAAAGAATATCAGCAAACTTTCTTAAGTTTAATATTATGTGAAATCTAGGGCTTTGGTTCGATTCCTTTCTTTTTCATCTGGGGATTGAGTCATTAGACAACAAGTATCAATAGAATCAGGTGAGATTGTGGGTGGTTTATGGTGATGTTATGCTGATTGATTTAAACTAATACTGTGCAACTATAAACCATAAGAACTTCTAACTCAACCTGTGGGAAGCAAATATTTTCTAGAAAAGTCTACATCTAACTCTCATATAGCCACCCATCCAAAAAATTCATGAAAATGAAAAGCAAAAAGAACTGAACGAAATAAAGTTCATTTTTAATTACAACGCTGCGAGATTTTTTTCTACTGAAATAAAATATGAAGCAAAGAACTGCAAAGTAAATGTAAAAAGAGTTAATGAACGGATGATATCCCAAGAGTAAATAAGATTACAAAGAGAAATTTCACACGAATTCACATCCATTCGCTATCATGTCATTTTCGGACAATCTTCTTTGGTTATAATTGCATTCCTTAAGCTAACACCCTAGCTACTGAGATGGAAAAAAGGCATATTGTAATGAACATGACGAGAGGGAGCATAAAAATGTAAAGCATAACCCACATTAATTAATATTGGTTCCTTATTTTTTGAGTATTGGTGGTTGCCAATGCTAGCAAACAGAAATTTTTGAGTTCTTATTATTCGTAATTCGAATTTTCGAGGTTCTTATTTTTCGAAAATCGAATCTTCGAAGTTCTTATTTTTAAAAAAATTCGTTGTGAATTATTATTTTTCGAGTAATTTGTAATTTTAGTGAACATTCCTACTAGTTTTTATGATTAAGATAATCACTGTGATGAAATTGCATTCTTTAAATGTTTATGCTTTAAAAAACAGCTAGTTTAAAAAAAAATAAAAAGGAACGGACTTTCTTATTATGAAATTTTAAAAAAATATTGCGCGAAAATTTTGAAATTTTTTTGTTTGTAACGGACTCTGTTCTCTTTGCTAACATTGGGGTAGTTGCTTTCTTTATTTTGACTTGGTCTGATTTTCTCGATGTCACTGCTTTTTGTAGCTGATAAGCATCTCCTTTACTCTAAAATCCCATGATAACTCAACATTCAAGTATATAGACTTCTAGAAATCATATCAAGCTCAAAAAGCCACAAATAATTACGAAAATCAATTGAGATTGATTAAATTTCGTCTGCAAACCAAGAAGAACAAGCCACAAATAATAAGAAATGCGTTTCAAGCTGCTATTAAACCACAACGCCATAAAATTCCAAACATTCTTTCTTATTTTCCTTAATTTCGTTACGGATCATTCACGCGATACTCATCATCATTTGACGGCTGATTTTGAAATGTGTAGTAAGGCGTAGGACCTCTTTCCTCCTTGTCATTGCCTTATTTATGGCTTTTTTCATGAAAAATCTTCATTAATCCAATTATCCCTGTACATTCAGCACTCCGATTAATTACGTTTATGAATTTAGTCAGGGGAAGCATTAAATCCTTTTAAATTGATGTTACATCTACATTTATACTATTTGACAGAGTCTGCATCAAACGTCGCAATATTGCTTTAGGTCAAGGATAGAACTTTTCACTCATGCATAAAGTAGATTCTTTACAAACCGTCCAATCTACACGAAATTGCTACTATTTCAATATTTATTATTCTTGAGGATGAAAGAAGCGAGAAAAAGGAAGCAAATTGAATGGAAAGAACTCTTTTTCTTGTTTGGTTGGGTAAAAGATGCCCCGAAGTAATTCCTGATAATGATCTTTTAAACTATTCAATCCTTATTTATATATTCATGTGCTCATTCTAATGGCAATACTTAAATCAGTAGTAGCTAGATGAATATGCTTTTTATTTATATTCAATCCAACAAAGCAGTTAAATAAACATTTCATTGATGATTATTCTGTTGTACTCAAAGCTTAATTCAAGTCCATTCCGACAAGAGTCAAGCTTTTATAATGCAAAATAAAATGACAAAAGAAAGTACACCTTTTTGAGTCATTGGCTGTGACACAGACTAAATCTATGGTAAAACAATAAATCTCTTAAAAGACGAACAAGAAGCTTGTAGATAATAAATAAAATACCTGAATAAATAAATAATTTTTTGATCCTCTTTAAAGCAGAGACGGAAAAGAGCAAAAAGTGTATTTTATCCACCAATTACCAAAAAGCGGTAAGACTTCAAACAGAGCTAGCAAAATATATAAATTTAAAAGGAATTATTTCTTGAGATAGGTAAAAGGCATCTCTTACTCATTTCTCTTCATCTTCTTCCTATCAAGAAAGAAGGGAAAAATGGCACAAGTATCAAATATCGTTTGTAAATTGATTGAAATAACGACTTTTATATTCTTGGAATGTTTGAATAGCTTCAAGTTTGTGTTTCAATCTACCAACTGATGTTAAATGAGTCAATGGTTCTCTAAATAAGCTCTAGACAAGCGCTTCCTCAAAAGAATATAATAAAAATGAAATTCTGAAGTTACAATCAAACTTTTAAAATTATTTATTGAAGGATTTGAACTCTTTATGAATTAAAGATTTACAAAAACTGATTTTCATCACTACTAATTAGGATGCTAATTGAGTCACAATACTTAAAATACTATTTACTCCTATATTTATGCAATCTGGAAATATTTAAAACCCATCCATAATATTACTTTAATATTACTTCCTATAAGTCCAAAATGCAATGTTCCTTTACTCAAAATCAAAGATAAAAGGATGAAAAATTGTGATAAGGTGAAGAATTGAATTTTAAAAGCCTTACTTTCCTATTTTATGCTGTAACATCGTCAACAATGATGATAAACTTAAAACGTTTTTTAACAAAAAAATAAACAAAAATTAGATTTGGTTGCCGTTTTCACGTTCAATTTGCAACCTTCTTACTTTTTTTCCTTGCTGAAATGTAAATTTTTCGTTCGCCTGCTCGAGTATCGTAATCTCCATATTATTCTTCTTTTGATAAATCTATGAATATTGCTGTACATTTCAGACGTTCTTTAATGTCATACTTTGGGACACACAGAAATGTACATAAATGCTGGTTATCTTACATTTTCCATCCTCCATATCAACTCGGGCTCTAACGCCATCTTTCTCACTTATTACATGTTTTTTTCTCTCTTTTTTGGGTAGTTCATTTTTTGTTGTGCTTTTGAGGGTTGTTTGCGAGTTGTGTAAATCTTTATGGAAGGATAAGGTCAGGACAGGATACATTATTGTCCTTATGAAATTTCTGAATGGCATCTAAGGGTAAAATATTGAATTATAAAAGACGATACTAATGAATGAACCCTTAAGTGTTGGAAATAATATCCGCGCCTCCACACAGCTTTGCCTAGAAGATGATGATAAGAGATGGCGTAAAATTGTGTTGTATCAAGGATGAAAGTAGAAGAAGTGGGAGAGTGAGATTAGCCATTAATCGTACAAGTTCTTAAAAGACGCTTACTTCTTTGCATTATTACATTACGATTTTTTCATATTTGATAAACTGTTGGGCATTGAAACTTTCATTTTCCTTATCCTTCTTAATGTGCTATCAACATTATTCATTTTTAATACATTGCACATCAAATTAGAATGAGGAAGTAAAAGAATGAAGAAATTGACTTATGTCTTTGACGATTACAATTGATTCCCGTTTGATTCGAGAAAAATTGAGCTCTGTCATCAACACTCGTGCCTCTGAGGGAAAGATTAAGGAAGTTTTTAATGAGTTTTTCAAGTATTGTTGGATTTCTTATGAAATTTTAAGTTAACTCCTTCGTAATTGATTTTTTTATAAGCTGTTCTGGATTGGATGGAATGATTTTGTGTTCTGATTTGTAGTTCTTGATGATTTTTGTCTTGAGTTTGAAGTTTTCATCTTTAGAAATTGATTTGAGATTGTTTTTTGGCATCTGACTTTACATTTAGGTGTTTGGTTGTTATTTGAAACTAAATGTTAATTTTGAAAACCTTTAAATCATGTTTAAGGACTTCCAGGAAACAGTTATCCGTAAAAACTTAACCATAAAAAAAAACTCGTTTTATTGTTTTTGAAAAGTCAGCTTCGTGTTGATTCTTATTGACCAATCATAAACCGATTGTAAAAACCCAACATCCTTTAACATCCCAAAATAGCAACTTTGTCGTCATACAATCAATCTAAAAGAGTAGTTTATGATCTACTATTCGGATAAAAAAAATAGGCAGATAGAAATAGAAGCTCATTATGTATTAATGTTGATGATGTGATAAGGATGGGCATTTATATTTTTTGTCAGGCATATTTTTTGTTTGTTGTCATTTTATTTTTATGATAACAATTTGACCAGAAAAAAATATGCAGATAAAAATAAAACAACAAATTTGATGTCACACAAAATCCAACCCATTATTTATGATATTTATTTGTATTGTATTCTCTTGTTTTTATATCATTTTAGCGAATCCACATCGTTTAGATGATTTTATATGCATGAAGCCTGGCAAAAATCCCGATCTTGGTAAAGTGTATGATTTACTGCATTTCGTTCAGGCATTCTTTCGAACAAATATAGACAACAACAATACAAAAACACAAAATTAAAAGCTCCACTGGATGATGCGGAGTCGAGAGGGAAAGAAAAGAAGGAAAAGCACTTAGAAGAACATCAAAAATATTAACAACAACAACAAAAACAGCAAAAATAACAATAATAAAGAAAACAATTTTTCCATCATCATTCAATTCATCCCTCCTGTGTTACGTTCTACTTCTCCTTATTATTTATTACAGATCTATGAAATTTCTACTTCCATCTACTTTTCAATCAACTCTTTTTAAATTTTTTTTATTGAAAATAAGTTCAATTTTATTTATGATTTCCCCCCTTTCCTTCCTTCATTTTCATCTCAACAATATCCAATACCGGATATTATTGATCATAATGAAATAATGATGAAAAACAATTTTTTTGTGTGTATGCTTTTAGAAACCCAGAACCAAATGAGAAAAATGAAAATATACAAGAAAAAATATATTTTTTGAAACATAAAGTGAATCAGTTCAGTACACCACAGGATAGTTTGTCAATGGATGACCTAGAAGATTATCTGCAGATTTTCAAGATTCAATTTTGAGTCATATTGGGTTGCAGCTTTAAATGTTGCTGTTTTGAAATATTGAGAATGGACTTAGTAAGGAGAGCGTTTATCAATTTAAAGGTACTCGATAGATATTTTAAAAGATCCAATATCCTGAGTAACAGGAGTCTTAGTGAATGTGGATTCTAGAGACTACAATATCATATCAATGTTACAGTAAGGAGTAGTAATGCATCCTTAACCAATTGTAGATCTCCTTATAACTGCAATATGTTTATACTAATGTAAAACAAGTCGGGTTCAATGGGAATCGAACCTGCGACCTCAAAAGAGGCGATCTTAGACCACTCGTTTAAAGATCCTTGCCTCTTGGCCACCGAGGTACATATCTCACTTTTGCTATCCGTCATACATATATAAACTGTTTCAACGCGAACCCTATTCTCAGGCCTATCTACTACAAATATGCTCTTCGAGCCATATTCTCGCATTTTATGTAGGATGTGAGTTTGATTCCCATAGTCTTAAACGACATAATATTTATGAGGACTATGAAGCTTAACAATAGTTTAGGACATACATACTCCTAAATAATGATATCCTTCAATTTTTGGCAAACCCAGTCCAAATTTTAAAGTTTGAACCAAAAACAAAAAGAAGAAAAACTCAAGAATAAACTTAAAACAGCAGTATCTAGGTCATCCATTAAGACACACTCATTCCAAACAAAAAACAAACAAAGATATAATAAGTGAAATAGTAGCATGTGGTTTCGATCCAAATGTTGAAATAGATTCAAAAGATGAAGAAGAAAGAAGAAGAATTTTAAGAATTAAGAAAGAAAAAAAAGTGATAAACCAATTCCTTTAAAATAAAAACAAATATGAAAGCACAAAAAGAAGCGAAGAAAAAACTCTTTTTTAAAAAAATCATTATTAAGCTCTCATGAAAATGCTTTTTTGCGATGCTGCTGTGGCAAAGTGTATGTGTTGAAATGGTGAGCATAAAATGCTAAACAAAAATTATTCTTTTTATCATCATGGCATGCACAAATGAGAGAAAAGAGGGAATTTTTTTAAGCTATTAATTCTGCCATCGCGTTTTTTCATCTTCCCTGCTATAGCCATTTGTCTGTTCAACCTCATATCATAAAAGCAGCATTTTATAACAGCTAAATGAAATTAATGAAAGTTTTTTTTTTTTGTAAAAAGTATGTAGCTCTATTGAAAAAGGATAGATATAGAGCACAAGAGAAGAACATTAATTGTGATAATGATTTATTGCTAGTTTATTGATCCTAAAGTCCCGTCTTTTTCCTTTAAGATGAAATTTATTATTGACAAACAACGTAAGCTTACCGTATATAGGTTCCAATGTATCGTAATTTTCATTATTTTGACATGATGAGATTACAATTTAGATATTGATGGATTGATGAAAATAAATATACAGGTTCTCAACACTTAGGATGACAAGTTATACATACATACTTTCAATTTGAGATTAGATTTAAGGAATTGGTGCAAAGAAAAATCCAGCCGTGGTGAGCTTTTGATGGATGCATTCCTGCTCCCTTGATACGATTGAGAAAATTGTCGTCTTTAGACGTGTCCAAGATTATGCTTCACCAAGATTATACTAAGAAAGTGTCAGAGTTACAATTCCTACGCCCAGATACTGACTAGTGATATACTAAACTGATTTAGATTATAAACTTATGATAAGAAGCCTAATAGTCAATATCTTGGCAATTATAAATTTGATCTGGTTGGAACTAGAAGCTTGAAAATTTTCATGAATTTCTGTTGTCTTGGTATGATAAATAAAAATTGCATACTCCCACTGATGAGTGCACTTCCGTTTTTCGTTAAGCCATTATTTTCAAGAACGTTCCAACCCAACAAGTTTCTTCGAGTAAATCTAAAGAACAGTCTAGATTCTCCTCATTATATTTAGATAGTGGATATCATATCTTATCATTATCTAAGTCCGAATGACTAGATAATCGCACTTAAAAGTCATAACCACAGAAGTTCAGTCTGTTAGATTAGAACGTTCTAGCTGATGATCAACAGAATGTTTGCAAGTACTCAATAAATCCATGGTTGGGAGCACATAAGAAGAAGATAACAAAAGCATCGACATAACAATAAATTTGCTAGTGCTTCTTGAAAATTCAACATTGGAACCTTTGCGCTTCATTAGAAAGACGTTCTGGAATAAATTTTTGTAGGCCTTCAGCAACACATAAAGATTAATTATCATAATAAGGAAGCTATTGGCGCAAAATATCAATTTTTGAGGTATTTTATGAGAGCGATATGTATTTAATATTTAAAATTGAATAACGCAAATAAAGTTGTATACCCAAATAAAAATAAATAAAATGTTTTCAAAAATAGCATAACTAAATAAATTAAAGAGCACCAGGAGATGATTATATAAATTACACAGTAAATGATTATATAATAAGAATGATAATTAAAATTTATAAATATATCAACATCAGAAGCAAAAAAAGACATCATTGTAGATTTTTTACATAAATTAAATTGTATTAAAAATGATGAAGTATATTATTATACTGCATGAATGAATGATGATGATCATGATGATAATTTTATTAATTATAAAAATAGTTTCTTTCTCCTTCCAAAAGGAAAATTGTCTTATGTGCATGGTATAAATAGAAACAAATTTAATTAAGCGTGATTTCTCTTCCAAACCATCTTTTGAGGCTGACTTTTCTTCCTTCTCTTATCCAATCCTCTTCTTCTTATTAACAATTAAATTCTCTCTTGACGCTTTTATCGTGAATTTAAGAATAATAAAAGACTCGTCATGTTACTTAAAGAAATATCCACAATAGCTCTTTTTTGAGTCAATTTTTTGTTTATTCTTTGTTTCAATTCTGTCCTAAGTGCTCTCGATGGATGCAGAAATACTAATTATGGATGTTAGCAAGATTGAGTTCAAATCCTCAAAAATGTTAAAATTTTAGAAAAATGTTGAATTTTGAACACTGGATCTTTAAAATTTCAAACTTTAAGTTGTTAAGTGTTTAAAGATTTATATCTTGACGATATTTGGATTTCAAATTTCTTGTAAACAAAGATTTTATTCAAAAATTGAAAAGTTTGTAAACAAATTTGTTTAAAACAGAAAACTCTCTTTTGACGCTTAAAACCTTCATCGAGAGCACCAAAAATTCTATTATCAAGACTCTTTGTGTGAATTAAATTGAAAATATCACAAAAAAGCTACCTTCTTGTGAACTCGTAAATTATTAAATAAGGAGAAAAAAAAAATTGAAATGAAAAAAAGTTCTTTGTTAATGAAAATGCGTGCTTTTTTATATAAACGATATCCACATACTTAACATACATATTATTGATATAAGACAAATTAAATATTTTGAATTATTAACGAGAAATTTTCTCATTCATGTTTAAAATTCTTTTTTTTTCAATTACTACATGAGATGATAAAATACAAAAAAAAATTAAAAAAGTGAAATTTTTATCGATATTGTATTTTATTTAATCAATTTTTGATGTTATACATTCAATATGCTATTTATTTAAATTGTTAAGTGACTAAAACCAATAAACTGAATTATTCTATTTCTACATAATGCATAACACACTTTATGCCATCAATGAAGTTAAATCTATGAATGATATTAAATCTTTACGAATTATTAATATCAGTGCATATTCGAGAGTGGTTTTTTGGTCAGTAAATTACTAATGGAATTTCTGAACAAATCTAAAGTTATTGTTCATGAGAGGTCATGAATTTGATTAGAAGAAGACTTAACCTTTGGGGATATTTTATATTTATTTCGATTCAAGTCAATGTTGATCATTTAAAGAGAATCAGTAAATCTCAAAGAATTTTATTGAATTCGAACTGTAATGTCTAATAGAGATTCTTTGTCACTTCAATAACTACTTACTAAGTTGCGACTAAAGCTCTTCTGGAATCAAATGTCAAATGATTCAATAATCGTTTATGATCTTAAGAAATTGACTCTAGAAAACTATGAAATTCAATTTAAAGCTAGCTTATATTTATATATTTAAAGCTTGTTAAAGTAATAGAATAAGCTAATGCAAAGTTAAGAATATGACCTAATTTCTCAGAAAATGCACTCAGAATAATCTTCTTATTGTGGCAATAACGAAATATTATTTTTCTGATTGAAAATTATTAAATAAAACAAAAATGTTAACAAACAACGCTATTTTAATAATAAAAATGACTAAAAGTAAACGAATTCTACAAAAAAAAAACTATTAAGTTGATAATTTTGACTCAAATTAATTTTCTTAATGCTACTTATTACGAAGAAATTGTAATTTTTAAGAAAAATTGTAATTTTTTACTGTAGATTTTTCATTCCTTAAATTGTACTTTAAATGGAAAACTTTTTAACGATAGCAAAATAAAAATAAATATTAATTTTACAATGCAAAAGCCTAAAAAAATAGAAAGAAAATTAAATTTAAATGCTCGTAAATGAAATAACAATTATGACTGACTTTATTCTATTTCAATGAATGACATGATAATGACAAGATTATGTTTAAGAATGTGTAATTTACTATTTAAATTTTTCACTTGAAATTTTTTACAGCTTTTAAATTAAACAAAAATGAGCACCTTCATACCTTCTTAATCCCGCTTAATCTATATGAAAAATTTACAAAACAAGAATATTTAAATAAAACATGGGACGCAAGCTAATAAATTATAACACCTTTATAAATTGAATTAAAACTCTTTCTAATCTTCTAAATTTATCACAAATTTTTAAACACACATTCATATCTTTTAAGACAAGAAAAAATACAATAAATTGTGAATTAATTAAATCTTACAAAAAAATCCTACTAAGCAATTTTATTCAATCAACATTTAAAGTTCAATCTTCAAATTAAACAATCAACAAAAAATACTGCATTTTTAATCAAAATTCATACGAAGGAACCTTACCTTTAAAGTCGGGGGTATTGGAGCTTAATGTCAGCGCATCAAGTTCATTTTTTAATGGTTCATTTAAATTACAAAAGTTTTGAAATCTAGCAAACTCAAAAAGATGCGAAGATCATTTCAAAAAGACGCAAAAGCGAATTCAAAAAACGCAAAGGCGAATAATAAGAGACGAAAAAGCGAAATCAAATTGATGCGAAGATTAATTCAAAAAGAAGCAAAAACGAATTCAAAAAACGCGAAAATGTTATTTAAATTCAAAATTATCGTTATTCTTCACAAACACTTTCCTGATTGACATTAAGCTGCACTCTCCTGAACCCTCCAAATTAAATTTTATAAAACTTTTCTTCCTATTTGACTGTTCATCTCTTGTTATTCGGTGACATACTTTATTGATATTAAAAAGAAATCTTTAACAATGAACAAAATAAAAAAAAATAAATATTTTGTCACTATTTCTTCTGTTGCTATATTGGTTGTTACATATAATAAAAAAAAGAATATATTAAATGCATCTATTTGATGACTTTTTCACAAAGTGTGAGTAAATTATTAAAGATAAAAAAAAATTTGCATCATCAAAAGAAATCTGAAAAGTTCTTAAAAATGAAAAAAAAAATCTATTTATTATTGTAAGATTATGAATTTAATTGATGATAAATGAGAATGAAAATGTTAAAGCAGCATTTTGCTTGATGATAATAAAAAAAGTGGTGAAAAAATATCAAATTTTTGTTTTATTTTAAATGAACGCTATCAATTTGCAAATGTTTTTAATTTTGTTTAACGGATTAATTATTAGGGGGTGAAAATATGCGAAAATTCTTCATAACGGTTAAAATGTTTTCAAATTCCAAAGTTTGAGTACATTGTAAACGAGAGAACATAAACAAACCTTTATTGGAAGTGATTTACTATAAAAACATGGTTTTTCAATGGAACTGATGGATTATTACAACTTGTTCATTCATTTAGAACCCAAAGATCTTTAAATAATTGGATTTTGAATGAATCTCTGATGTGAAACGCGTCTCTCATTCCAATATTTCCAATGTATGAGAGCGTCGCAAGCTACTAGTAGTTTTACAAATTCAGATTCCCAAAAGCGCTCTTCACATTTCCAGTCAAAAACCCAAGATAGGGTTCTAGATTTGGTTAATTAAAAACCTTAGAACCAATGCTTCAGTAAACCAAAAAACTGCTAACCAAGGTTTTCAAAATTTGCAAACCAAAAGCCCTAGTTTTTAAAATTCGAAAACCAAAAACCAATTTTTTAAAATCGAACCTAAAATAGTATTCGAAAATCAAGCAACCTTTTTAAAATTGAACCAATTATGTGTGAAAAAATTCATAAGAAAAGAGATCAAAATTTTTATAAAGTTTCCGTTAAATAATTCAGACCAGTGGACATTATAAGAACAGCAACAGATTACTTTCCAGTGAGAAAAGAGCGCTAACCTTTATTTAAAAAGAATTGTTTGGGAAAAATAACTTCCAGTTTTAGAGAAAGAGTCAAATTGTTCATACAGTAAACTCAAGTCCCACAATAAATATTTGAAAATTATTAAAGTTTTTTTTCTTGATACATTTTCAAGATTTTGTTTCTTAGTATTGTTTATAAATTGTCATTGCACAGACCAGTTGTAAAACAGCTCAGTTCTTTAAAGAAGATAACTTAGTGATGAGAAATTGAAGAATCCAGAAGAATAATTGCCTTTTTAAAAATAATTAATTAAATATAAAAGAGTTGGAAAGAAAAAGTGTTGTACAATCTAAATTAGAGAAGAAATCAAAGTGAAAATAAGAAGCAGAGTGAAAAAACTAATAATAGAAGTCAAGCAAAGCTATATAAGAAAAAGTTGAAAGAATCCAAAGTGAAATTAAAGTTTTTTTTAAACAAATTAAAACAGAAAAAAATACTAGGAAGTCAAAATGACAAATATTGAGAATAGCCGGTAAGTTTTATCAATTTCTTACTTGCAGAATCAATTGAAGCATGTCATATAATACCCAGACAACAATGTCAAGTGTTAATTAAATTATGAATCACTAAAACTGCCAAAAAATATTCCTATAATCATCAAAAAATTCTTCTTATCGGCTGAGTTTGTCGAGTATATAGGCAAAGTCACCCTCTTTTTTTAATACATTTATATCGTACGACTTTGGAATTTAAGCCAATCAGAACACGAGAATTGCACGCGACTGGAACAATTTTTATGCTGTTTGGAAAGTTCAAGAGTATGAAAAATATCGGAAAATTTTTTTTAAGGCGTTAGACGTCACTAAAGTGTATTGCAAAGAATGGAAAAACTTATGGGAAAGTAAAGGGAAAAAAATAAATTCAAAATGAACGATAGACACAAAAATAAATTTGAAAATCAATTCGCGCGTCTACTTAATTTATGAATGACCTCTCTCCGTCGTATATATATAAAAATTACAGTTTCTTATGCAACTTGACATATATTGAACATGTAGAAAAAAAATAGACGAAATATGACTTAAATGTATTATTTCTTCTTTTTTGTGTATATTTTGTTTTACGTCTGTTTGAAAGAAATCATGTGAAGGCCATTCCATCCATCCAAGAGAAACAACAACAGTCAAACAGCAATACTTCTTTTTATGGTGTGTGCATCTATATAAAGTTGTTAAATTATGTTACTTTGTGAATAATAGATTAACAACTGGATGATTTCTCAGCTTAAATGATAAAACAGTGAACCTTTCGTGTGCTTTATTATTAATCATGCAGTGTTTTGTTTTGTTCTGACGTCACAATATAACATCCGATGCTACTGACTAGCTAAACACGAAGAAGACAACACTGTGAAAAATTGGCACGTAAATTATTTCAGTGTAGATGCGAAAATTTTAAGCATTCCGACATCGTCTAAGTGTCATTAACTTAATTATGTAGCTGAGCCTTATCACTGAAAAATCTACCAATATTGGCGAATCCATTAACAAAGTCAATTTTCTGGGTCATTTCTTTCACTTTATATTCTCATTAATTTTATGCGCAATTGTATTCACATTACACAAAGCAAGCAATCCAGCCTGGCCCACCAATAAATAATATGCAATCAAAGTAGTGTGTATGCACTCAAAAAAATACACATTCGACCTTTCCTTTTTCTCTCTCTCAACAACATTAGTTTCCACAATTGCTGCATTACTTCATATCACGTGCTGTATTTTTTGACTTTCTCGAATGCTCGTCTCTATCTTAGTCTTTTATTGTTTCATGTACCAAAACTAATGCCGACACATAAAATGTTTATTTTGGTCTTTACGTAAGATCTTACTTCATACAGCTATGTCCAGATACTTTATTTGTTCTTTATTACTTACATTTTTGCAATTGATATTTTTTATGAATGACAGCGAATTCGTATATTGTAAATGAATCATATGATGACGATCGAATAATTACAATTTGTCACTTACGAAATATACAGCTAGCTGACTAGAGTAATGAAGATAAGAAGAACAAAAAGCTTCTAATTGAGTATGTTTATTTATTTTTAGAAATGGCTTGCAGTTTTATGGTGATATGCGGCATATTTCGGCATCGTTTTTATTATTACGACTTTGTTATGCTGCTTGTGTGAGGAATTTCGAAGGAATTAATGCGATTTCCTTGAGCTTGTTGTCAAACTTGATTGACTCGATTGTTTTTCCTTCATAATAAAGACTTTAAAATGTTTTTATGGAAATGTAACATGACCTGGTGTGAAAGGCTTCTTCTTTCTCTCCGCCTGATTTTTAACTGTGTCATTATTATATTATTCCTTAATGTTATGATTACTGATTAAGCACTCAAAAAGTTTTCGACAAAACTTTAAATTTATTTGCTGCCATTAATTATTCAAATATGTTTTAACCACCAAAAGTCCAAAAGATTTTAAGAGTAGCATTTGCTTAAGATATGCAGATCATAAGTCGGTTAATATGTTATCACTGCATAAATGAATATCGATACAGGTGAAATAGAATGAACTTCCTGGAAAATTTAAAATTCTATTCTATTGTAAATTAAATAAACACAAGTGGCTGACTTTGCACCTTACTCAATCGAGCTACTTCCTTAATTTCACATGTAAATTTTCCTCGTTCTCAATAAAAAGTTCTCACAAAGCTAATTAAACCGTTTATCATATAGAAAATATACATGACCGGGTCGAATAAATTTAGTGTAACTTGATCTTTTCTCCTTGTGTGTCCTCCACAAGACATCGCACAGCCGATTAAGTTCAGCAGAGAATGAAAGTAATTAAATGTAAATTTTCCCTTTCGCTCTAAAGTTGATTGAACATATTGAAGGTCTCTTTTCACTCTCGATTCGTGCGATAATAAGAAATATGTGCTAAATCATCATTATCGTGTGTTGTGCTTAGTCGGTAGTTGTGGTAGCAACAGTAAAAAGAAATGTATGTATGTAATCTTAACATTTACGCTGCTTTTTGGTTTTCATTCCTTCACATTCCAAAACTGTCTTTACAAATATGTATGGACTATACATACATATATTTCATGATTGCAACGACGAGGAGAAACAACTTTCGCTGCTCTAGTGGTCAATTTCGCAAAAACAAAACCAAAACAAAACAATGATTATTTATGAAAAAGCAACACTGAAGCTGAAATTTCATGAATCGGTAACGTTTTATTGCATGCTAAAGTCTTTAATGACTTGTTATTGTTTTGTCCAATAGTGCCTCGCTTAAGATATCAAGCAAGCCGACCCTGATTATCTAAATTCTACGGAATTAAATATCGCTCTGATTTTTATTTCATTTTTCCTCAGCTCATTATTGTTTTAAAAAACATTTTTCTTGCCTTGATAGTAAGCAACTTGCTGTGCTGAGCTTTATATTTTCGTGAATTGGCAATGACTTTTCTGTAAGTGTGTGCAACTTGCTTAGGTAAAATTGAACAATTTTATTTAATACGCACGTGTATAATAATTATTTATCGGCTATGTAGACACACAGGCTTATATACAGCACATAATCTACATAATGTAAATGTGCATTTCATTAATATTACTGTTTATTATCACGATATCTGCTGATGTTGATCATTGCTATAACATTAAGCTTGATTACAAAATCATTGAGTGCTGACTGACTGTTTGACAATATTTTTTGAATTTAATTAAATTTGTCAGCTGAAATTTTAAATAATTTTTGATTTTTATTTTACAAAGAAGATTTTTTTTATGGGCATCTTGGTCAATCTAGTAATAATTTTATAGTCCCAACTTCAATAAAGAGACAAAAGAGACGAAGTATATAGTAACACACACTATGCATGCATTTATGTTATCGATAATAAATAAACGGTTTGGCCTTGGAAACTGATGCGTTTTCATTTTCATTCACATTTCTTGGTTGGCTCGAATAAACAACAATGGCAGGCAGAAGAAATAGGCTTTTTATGTATTTTACATTCCCCGCGAATACAATGTTAAGATCAGCTTGATCAGGCAGTGCGAAATTATGGGGAAATCAGGCTGTGACGTCCAAAATGTTAATGCTATTGGGGTTCTAAAACTGACTTTCGATGGAGAAATGTTCCAAAAATCTCACTCATAATTTCCCGAAACTTTCAAACGACCCCAAAAAAATTGCAAGTAATGAAAAATGATGAGACTTTTTTCACACAAACACACAAGTAGCTTGAATGTTGATTAATTCAGCAAATTAGTACAGTCCAGTGAATTGTTGCGCAAAATTTGTCAGTATTGAAGCACTTGCGAGTTAATTGATTTCAATAGCTTGCTTGCTTGATGCCATAAATGAAAAATTGAAACAAAAGAAGAAGCTGAAAAGATGTGCAAGGTGCAATTGATGAGAATTGATTTTATCGAGTGCTGTGCTAACTCATTTGAAATTCCAATCGATGTATTATTATGTCATCTGTGGATTCTTACGATGTAGACACATACACATGAATGATTAATCAAATTAATTGTGACTGCCATTAAAAATAGAAGATGAATGGATTTATTGATATTGACATTATTAACATAGTAAATACATGTCTCATTATAGCATGTGTGCTTGTTCCTATCAATTTTGATAACGATATGATAATATAGCAATTTGAAGAGTCTTTAGTGCGATAAATTTGTTGTCTGTCATAACTGTAAGTCTCAATTAAATACCAGAAATTACAAATGACCTGACACATGTTATATAAGTATAATTCCCAAAAAAAAATGTTTATAGAAAGTTCATTACACTCATGTTTTAAGCAAGACTTTAAGCCAGTCTAGATCGTTATCAGTAGCTTATGGAAAATTCCTCGATGGACTACATTTTTTGAGCCTCGTGAATTTTTTTAACGATTCTGAAGATTATGTAAAAATTTGCTTGTAAAGTAACGGTCGGCTTTGATGCCGGCACACCCTAGACTCTGGCTTATTTTATAATTATCTAATTCCTATTCACACGCGTATCATTTTTTGTCAATGAAAAGCCAGCATGAATCTATCCACAAAAAGTCCAGAATATAGAAGTATAGAATGGATAATTTCAGTTTGTGGGACATGGATTCTATAAGAAATTCGGATGATTTCTGTGTCATAGTTAGGAACAGCTTAGCAACTAAAATATTGAATATCAAATTGAAATCGACCTAAATCACATCCAAAAGCATAAATGGTGTCATTTGTGCTGGTCTTGATCATGAAAACAACTTGTGTCCAGAAAATAGTCAACAGGAACTTTCATATTAAAAGTAGTTTATCGACATCAGACAATGTGGCACCAACAGCACATTTTTAAGCTTATTTAGATAGTCAGGCTTATGTTAGGTTTAAGAACTTGATGATTAAACAAGAACTCAATTGTTACATCCTTAAGCCCTCAATTCTAGTATTCAAAATAAGACAATTGATTGAGTAGCAGACGTGTCGAGAACAAAAGTTATAAATTATGTAAAGTACAGTTCGAGAACAAGGTGGTAGAATTTTTTTAATTGATTAGTAAATATTTATGCATTAGAATTGCGTGATTTTCTAGCACGCGGAATTCATTAAAGCTTATTGAATCAACACTGAGAATCATTCATAAGAGTGAAAATTTTTACATTGATGCTGCTATTGATCTATGCTAATCAGCTAGATAAAAGAATTGAGTAACCTATTATAAAAAAAAGAATTTTAAAACATTCACAGGTGTTTCATGAGTTTCTAGTCTTCTCGCTTCATTAAGAAGATCTTTATTTTTTTTTTTGCGTTCGTGTCTCATCTTAATGCCTTAAAATCGGGTGAAACACGTTTTCAAAATAATCATTTGAGTTTTGGTGCCGAAAGAAGAAAAAAAAAGCTATATGTATACTTAAGATTTCTTGTGTCTGTAAAGCTCATATGGATTGTGAAATTTTGCCTAAAAAGATTTCATCTTGAACGATAATAATATATAAGCGACACACGAATGCAGCAATACATGGCTTTTATTTAAAATATATAAGAATTAGTGTAAAGCTTGATGGTCGATATCCGTATCATTGGAATGTAAAGTTGATAATCTACACATGCTTAGAATTATTATTTCTACAATTTTATGATTAATTAAGTCAAATATTAGATGTAAGATTTACATTTTTATAGCACGTAGAGTTTATGAATGAATTCGCAGCTACACAATAAATATTTTCGATATATGAATCTTCTCAGTACTTGAGTGCTCAGCTCGCTGTTGGTGGTAGTGCGATTACATCAACTTATAAATAACCTTACGAATTGTATAAATTGTGAATTTTTCTTCTTCTGCTGCTACTTGCTACTGCTGCTTTTGTGCTTTACGCGCGATTAAGATGCTTTGTTAAATTTAATTTACACTTAATTATTTAATTAAGAAACTCTGACTCTAGTCCAGAGAGATCTAGAAATCTGAGTTTAATGGATTGAAGACAGTCTAGGATTAGTTGTTTGTCTGGATCAATAGAAATAGGCTCATTAGGATAACATGAGGAAGATCTAGATTGAAATTTGTATGTGGAACTAACCGTAGAATAGTCAAAATACTTATCATTCAAAGTGTTGATTGGGGCAGGTGTTTGCTTACAGCTAGGAGACATAACAATATGGAAGAATACAGGCTTAAGACTAGGATTAACTTTAAGTGTCAAGATATGAATTTAATTATAGAAAGCAAGGTTTAAACCTTGATAGATAAGATACAGGCGCTTACAGGCTCTAACATAGCATTATCTATGATTCACTGTTCATAAACATAATCGTAATTACTATCTTCAAATGACACATAGTCATACGAGAAATCATACAATTTCGCAGATGGATGTTATTTGACTGCTTATTGCAGATTGTAGACATCATTCATTACCCTTGAACTCTAATTTAAAAAAACACGAACGAAAAACTTAGTCTGAATATTCATATGACTTTGCTTCAACTTGAAAACTCAAATTCTCGTTTATTGACTTGGTTCTGCGATGAAAAACGTCTCCAGGTGATTGCTTGTTTTTAATTTTCAAGAATTAATTTTGATCATTTTGCATGCCAATGCTAATGTCAAATGAATCGCATATAATTAATTTTTGGCAAAAACAAGTTTAATTGGCAATTAAATGAAACCTGATTTTTAAAAGATGGAACCTAATAATCACACTAGTCAATTCTATTGACAAAGTAATAAAAAAAGCCTCAATTTCCTCTTTGCTTAATGACCATTGTCCAATTTCATCCTCTGGTGATGAAGACCAAAGCAATATTATTAAGACACCACACAATTAAACATAACAACTAACCGTGAATTATTCTTCTTCTTCTTTACAGGAACTGTTTACGTCGAATTATTCACGACGATAAAGAATTTTCAAACCAAAGTATCATCAATGTCATTGAGAGATTTGTAAAAAGTGTTAATATGATGGAAGAGACGATTTTGATTCCATCACGGCTAATGGATCGTCAGGTAAGAATAAATAGAATTAAATTCTTATATTGTGTCACATTTCCACTTAAAAATAGACTCTGAAAATGTTAAAATAAAATCGGATGATCTATAATCATTATAAAAATGCTCTGAGAGAGAATAACAGAAATCATACGATTTTTGTGTTCTATTTTTAAAATACCGGCTGATTTTTTGCCACATACAATGTTCCTTATCATTACTCAGTGGAAATGAGCTACAATAAAGCTCTCTTTATCTTTCATATCGCTATGAATCACTTGAATGTCAAAGAGACTAATTTGCAATCTTTATTTTCATTATTTCTAACAGGTTGGAGACGCTACTGATACTGTCAAACCAGCAGTTGAAAAGACATATCATCATCATCACCATCATCACCATAACAAAAAGAAATCATCAAACAATATTCATGATTGTTTGGGAAATACAGATTTATTTAATCTCTACAGTATGTTAAATTCAGTTAAAGTTGATTTATTGTGGGGCCGTAATGGTCAAGAAGAGGAAACGACTGAGACAAACAACAAGAACAATGAACGAAGTTGTGAAATTAACACTAGAACAGATGTTGTAAATGTGACTGAGAATTTATCGGCTCCACAACAGACAACAAATTCAGCAACTACAGAATCACGAAAAGGTGGTCACGTTCGTCAACCAAGCACAGTGTCTTTATCATCCTCAAATTCAAGCACGATTAGTGATAGCGAGAGTGAAATTTCATCAAATGAAAATGATTCAGGAATTGAGTCAGAAAAGCAACAGAATAAGGATAGAAGTCTTGAGGTATCGAAACAATTCCGTACACATCTGCTAGGTTTATATAAAAGTCTCGAGCAAATGACTGAGGCAGCCAGTTATTTAACAGCGCGCTATCAAAGTGATATGGGAGGTTGTTAAGAAATTATACACATCCATTACATACTGTTCTTTTTTTTATACTTTAAATAATTTCTGTTTTGCATGAAAGTAGTAGGATGCTCTCTCTATCTACATTATCGTCTGTTCTCGTTCGTTCTTTAATTCGTGCTCATTAAAGACTTCTTCTTTCTCGTTCTTCATGAAAAAAAAAATGTTTAAGTTTCTTTCTATAAACAAGTTTTTGAGCTTAAGAACCAGAAAAAAATTTTCATCGATATGCATTGAGTAAAAATGTGCAAATTAGATTAGAACCATACAAATGTTTTTAAAACCATACAATTTTTGATACATTTCCTATGCTTTTATAATGTTTTAGAAGAAAGAAATTGTAAGGTTTTAGGTTAAATTTGTAAAAGTTTTGAGTTTCCCCATTTTTATGTTCAATCGCTTATTTTTCCAAATATATACTGCATTTTAGTTCCTTCATTTTCCACGCAGTTGGAAAACTGATGGAAATCCTCATAAATATAGAATATAATATGCTTAATTATATTGCATTGATTTTATCATAAAGATGAAAATACTATTAAAGTAAACAATTTAAATGATTAAATTTTAAATGATTAATATTAATATGAAATTAAGCAATTGGTTCTGGTCAAAAGAGGCCTTCTTTTCTTCAAAAATAAATTACATTATGATTTGATATCATTTGAGAAATTTTTTGATTATTATTTTGGTGCATTTTTGCTAATTCTTTGGGTAGCTAGTAAAGTCATGACTTTACAAATTGTTGACTAGCTTGGCAAAAGTGCACATTAGTGAAACTAGTTTTGAAATGTATTTAAATAAGCTCACTACTTGAAACACTATTATGATTATTAATACATAATAATTAAAATAGAATATTGAAAAAGCTTTATGTTAAATTTAAAAAATATGCCAGGAAAGTTGAGAAAGAAAATTAACTGATAGACATAAAACACAATTTATGATAATTAAACATATAAACAGATACGAGAGAGTAAAACAATACTTTAATTTAATTTATTATTTAAGTCATCCAAAATGAGCTATAAAAAAATTTAAAAAAAAAAATTTAAAAAAAAATGAAAAAAAGGTGGCCATTTCTAATTCGATCATATCCCAGAGCTACGTTGAGCTTTGATATAATTATTTTTGTAAATTTTTACTAAATACGGTTTTTCCTTCGTAAATATTTGCTTGGTATTTCCAACATATGATTATTGTCAATTGAATGATTTTAATTTCCAATAGTCCACCATTGAAAAATATTTGATTGTGATTCTTGTGGTTGACATGCCTTTAAAGTGAATTGTCTAGAATTTAAGTCCAGGATTTATCTCAGGATCACACAGATTGAATTAAAGTAAAACTATTCGGAATCTTCATTTTTTGATGAGATCTAGAAGTGGAATTGATCTGGAGATTTAGAGTTAAAATTTAAGGTTAATCCAGTTGAAGATCAATCCAAGAATGAAGATTGATTGAACCAAAACTGGAGACAATTCACTTTATCAGAATCAACCGTTGGTTACTCATAGAAATTCTTATTTTGATAATTAGTTTCTCTCTTTGGGGTTCGTCCACTTATGAAGTTTGATAGGAAAGGGAGGGTTTGAAGGATAATTTTAAGGTTAAGAAATTTCAAAAATTGACCTCATAAGTGAATGATCCCCTTAATATCCATAAGAATTTGCATTCAAAATCCACATTGAGTAAATTCAAACGTAAAAAAAAGTTTAATTTGTAGGAAATTTTGCAAGTTGAATTTTGTTGAATCATTCTGCTGAAAAATGCTTTTTGCAACGTTGTTGCCTTTATACTAGATATGCGTATTAATTTTTCTAAAAAATAAAACAAGAAATTTCGAGAGAAATAATTGAAAATGAATGAAAAAAGTATATTGCCTCAATTTTTGCATGCTTATAAGAGAAACTATTAAGTAAATATTGAGTAAAACAAAAATTATGAATAAAAAAAAATCTTTCGGGAAAAATGCATATATGTGTTGAGATTGGAAGGGAAAATGGTGGTGACGACTTTAGGGGTTTATTCAGTTAATTTTACTTATTTATATCATTCGAACGTAAAAAAGGAACATAAAAATATTTTGATAGGTGAAAAAAAAATAAAAAAAAAAATCATAAAAAAATTGGAACTATCAAGTTAGGGATGTACTCTATGAAACTACTATATTCCATTACTTTTACATTATATGAGTTAGAAATAACAAAGAAGATTTAATTTTTTTTTTGTTTTTTGTATCTTGTCATAGATTGAAACGCATGCAAAGCGATTCAAACACATACACTTAATAATATTATAGTTTAATTAAACATATTTATTTTACAAAACAAAGAAATGTTCAAAATTCAAGGTGAAATTGAGTTGCTCGATGAATACTTTTGCTATTAAAGATCTGAAAAGGGATTATAAAATATGATAAATAAGTTTTTGACCAAAACATTAATCTGACTGTAAACCGAGTCCAGTCGAGCAATTCAATGTCGTCTTAACAACAGAAAATTTGAGAATGTGCAAAATTAATTGGCATATTTGCTAGAAATTAGAGGTTGTTTGAAAGCCATTGCGAGTATATTATCGCTGGAATGAACTTGAATTGAAAGTTTTTTGAACTTGAAATTGGGCGATTCTCCAGCGGGGAAATCAGCCAAAAATCACTTTCAAATTGATTTTTCTTTAAATTTTCCCACTAAAGCATGTTTGTTCTCAATTAAAACAGATGTATTTTTCCTAATTCTATCTCTTAAAGTCATTCAGAAATCATAATTAAGCTTATATCATTAGTTTTTTCAATTTTTTTAAGCGTTGCTCGGCAACCAAAAATCGAATTCAATTACGAAGAATCAAAAAATTACTATCAAAGAAATATTTTTATTACACTTAATACATACTAAATGGTAGATCGTCTTTAGTTTTATCATATTTAAATAACACATCTTTGATTTATTGCTTTAATTAAGAAAAAAATCGATTCTTCGAACAAAATTTAATGTTGCCGAGCAACGCAAACGCTTTATAGGGGAAAATCTGCTCAACGAAAAATTTAAAATTTGATAAAAACCGTTAGATCTTAAAACTTTCAGTAGTTTATTTGGCACAAAAATGTTAATGATCTAAACTATATCTTATAATAATCATTAAAATGCATATAAATTAAATTTTCAACCTACAATTGACCATAGAACCGGAAAAAATCGTTTGAAATAGATATTTTTTAACGGTTTTCTCAAATTTGAAATGTCAAGTAAAAGAAGAATTACAATTCACTTTTGAAAAATTCAATTCTTCTGGAGAATCGCCCAATTTTTGATTCGTTGATATTTTAAAGTTTAAAATTTTTTCTAACGTAAACTTTTGAATTTCTGAACTTTCGTAACGGAAAAGATTTGAATTTTTGAAGTATGAAATCTTTTGTAACCTTAAAAAGAATTCAAATAAAATTTGTAACGGTTTTCAATCAACTGCATTTTCTCGCATGATTGCATTCAAAATTAAGCAACAATTACTGCGAAACATATCCAAAATTGAAAAGATGAAGATCTTAAACGACTGTTTCTTATACTTTTATGGGTTTAATTATAAAATTTCATTTTTCTTTCTATTGGATTATATAATTCTTTATTCGTCTGTGTGTGCACACGTGTGAGAGACATATGTTAAAATATATGAAAAGATGATCATTAACGAATGATGCTTGCGAATCAGATAACATGCTTAAGAAATTTCCAAATCTTTGAAACCTTAAAAACAAACACATTTTTGATGTTATCTTAAGCCATGCATCGCAATAAAGCTTCAAACTTTTTTAATATCTCTGGAAATGAAGCAATTCACAATGAAATGAAAGAAAATGCATTTGTCAATATTAAAAAAAAAAGTAATAAAAATAGGTAGTTATGGACAATTGAACAACAACACATGAAAAAAATTAAGCACTGAATGACTTTATGATTTACCAAAATTTTATGTTATATTACATAAAAATTTGATATGAAGCGTGTGAATTGATGGACAGGTTTCTATCAAAAACAAAATTATATATTATGAATATTTAAAATATATAAAAAAAAACACAAATAAAAAAAGCTTATGTGACAAAGAAGAATATTTCGTGGCTGATCATTACTGAGGCTCAGCTAATTCACACACGCATTCAAAAAAAATTATATTAAAATTAAATTGAAAAGAAGCAAACTCAGATGAGACAATGAGTGAGAAAATGTAAAAAGATTCACGTGCATACATTTAAATTACCTGAGAATTAATAAAATTAAATACGTCTGGATATTAAAAAATTTCAAAAAAAAATGTTAAAAAAGCAAATATGAGAAAATTGTTTAAATTGAAATATGAATAAATTGATTCATTTTACTATATTGAGACTTTTGAGTTATTACTGTAAAAAAAAACAAAGAGATAAAAATCAAATAAACATGAAAAAAAGAATATAAGAATCAACCAAGGAAGGAAATGATTGTAAAAGTAATTAATTTGTAGACAAAAAATAATTAAATAAAAATTTAATTTAAATTTAATCTTTTTATTCTTTTTTTTATTAAGGATGCATGCGAATTTTTCAGCAATAAACTCCTCCATGTGATGTTTCATGCATCTATAGTTCAGCAAGCAGGAAGGAATAAGAATTCCAACTAAGTTGTTGTTATATATTTCTGCATTGTTGATTCTTGTAGTTATCCTTGAGTTGTTAAGAATGAGATGTTGATATTCAACCATATGTACCTTATACAGTTCCAGTTATGCAGCTTGTTGCAAATTTATAGTTTGATTATTGGCAAAATCAACATATTTGCTTATTTTGATCTGATTTGCGGTTTAAAAGATCATTTGTCTATGCTTAACATTTCTAGCTACTTTAAGGTCATTAGCTTAGGGGATCGTTCGAAAATGATGCCAAATTGCATAGAAACGAGGCTCGGCACTACTTTCTAATAGAAAATAATGAAACACGGAAAGAGTGTTATCTATAATCCACAGATTTTTGAATTGACATCATTTGTCGATGAATCATTGAGACGTCATATTAATATCAGCTTTTAGATCAATCACAGATTGTCAAACAAGTCAGTCAACAGAACAGCAAAAAATCCTTTTAATCCACAGTAAATGTAGATCATTCATCCGTAATTCGACACTTAACTATCGGAATGTTCTCAAAATTCTGCGTAGGTTCACACAAATATCGCATTTCCTGCCTCCTTTATCAATAATGAACTGAATGTCAACAAAAGATAGCATCTGTATCATCAAAATC